CTGTTTGCGGAAAGCAGCTGCAACTGCGCGAGACGCGGAGGTGTTCCGATTGGTGTGCCAGGCCTGAAAGCAATGATACATTACCTCTCTATTGCGGAGGCTGTGCCGGGCTCGGTGGGCATGCCGTAGTTGCCGCTTGTGATGCAGCAGGGCCCAGGTGGGCATGGTGATAACTGGATTTCTCGGCCTTTGTCTCGGTTTGGCGAAGTAGGCCTGCATGCCTCTTTGAAAATGAGCATTGATGCATGCCAGGTGCTCATCGACTCCCGCTTGCCATGTCGGCTCAGGAGCTGTGCTGATGATGTGGCGAATGCACTGTTTGCCGAACTCTGTGTGCATTTGCTCCACATCAACCCGGCTTTGTGTATGCTCAGCTTTAGGCGCAGTCTGGGCTTCGACAGTCACAAGTAGGGGCTCATGATCGTAACCGGAGTGCTCGTCGAGAATGTGAAGGGTGCCCAGATTCCTGACTGCATTGGACCATGCTTGCGGGAACATCACGAAGTCAATGCACGCCTTGTGCCCTTGCGGGGATGTCCATGTGTGGACCTCGTCTCCCTGCACATTTGTGGTGCCAGAGTCGGCCAGCTCATAATCATGAAGAAATGCTTCCATGCAGGCCGCATTCGCGTTGGTGGGTACAGCACCTTGCCAGCGCGCGTTGGTATCAGCACATATGATGGGAAGGCACCCGCGAGGGAGTGCTCGCAGAGTTGTGGCGAGAAGATCCCACCACTCCTGGATCTCTGTGCTGCTGGAAACAGCCGTGCGCGCGTGCCCTGAGATTAGAGCTACATCAGTACCTGCAAACCTGGCCTTGATGGCGAGGAGGCGTGGTTGGCTGTGGAGTATGGTGAAAGCTTTCGTGTCCCATTGGGCCGGCTTGCCGGCAGTATTTATCCAGAGCTGACATCCGCATTGGCCAGCGGGAGCTGCGCTGGCGAAGCGGTGCACGCCTTCTACAATTCTTATTGGCTCCGGAGATTCTCTGGTCTCTTGCAGTGCTAGGACATCAATCTTGTTGGCATGCATGAACTTTTGCAGGCTGTGCTTCTGTAGGGCCGTCTTGGCTGACAGCGTGTTGTAGGTGCACAGCCTCCATTTAAGCAGCTTTGCAGGATAATGCTTGGTGGTGGTAGGAGGTGTCCACTGGGCTGGCGCCATGGGAATGTATGGCCTGGCTGCATAATTCGCGGCAACAGTGGTGCCCCTGTCATCAAGCGCTGGCCACTGCGAGCCGTGCCCCCCGTCTGGTATCAACCACAGCCAGTCCAGGATGCCCTCATTGACAACCATGGCGACGTGGTGATCAATCGCCGTATTGTGCCGCTGCTGTGCCCAGCTCGCCAAGGAGTCGGCCAGTTCGTTGCCTGGATTGCCTTGGTGGCTCTTGACATGGAAAAGGGTCGGCGCAGCACCACGGAGTACAGCATGCAGACGGCTGGCAGTCGCGGCCTTAACAAGCAGCGTGGGCTGTGCACTAGCTGAAGATCCTGCTGTGACCGAGGCTGCCGCAGTAGCATCGTAATGGATGGCGGCAGAGTGCCAGCTGTTGGCAGCGCAGAGGAGATGCGCAACGAGTTGTGCAATGACCTCCGCCTCGAAAGCGCTGTGCAGCGCTAGCGCTGGAGTGGCCTTGCCTGCCTGGAAGCCTGCCCAGTGCCAGAGCCCCTTGTGACATATGAGCACCGCGACTGCCCACGAGCCTAGCTTGGTAGCAGGGTCATAGGAGCCATCGGTGTACAGTAGGACCTTCTCAGCTGTTTTGTGTGGCTCAAGGTGGGGCAGGGCGTGTGCAAATTGCATGGCTGCCTGATGCAAATTCACCCCATCAAGGTTTTGTTGCAGCTGGTCCTGCGCGAAGGGAGAAAAGGCTTCCTGGAGGACATCACCATTGACTGCAAAGCCTAGACTGGCTTCATGACGCAGCGCCGGAGGCTCATGAGGAATTGCCTCGGCGAGACAGAGGGCCTTGCGTCGTTGCATAGCGGTGTTGAGCTCGGCTGGGTTGGATTCGGCAGGGGGTGTGATCTCATCACTAGCCGGCCTGTAGCTAGAGCCCTTGTCCTGTCCCTCCTCAGCGCGGCGGATAGGAATGCTGCGCCTGCCGAAGGGCGTGGCGATCTTGACTGGCGGCTGTGCTTGGATGGGGGGTTCTGCTTTTGGAGCCTGTGTAGCAAGAGGAATACATATGGCACTGCCATGGGAGCTGGGGCCCTGCATCAGGGTGTTGCTGCCCATCTCCGGAATATTAGGCTGCTCCGCATCCAGCATTTGGTAGATGTGGAGTGCGTCCGGGCTGATTTCGCTGGCCTTCCGTGTGCACCTTTGCACACCGGACACACATGTACAATCAGTGCGTCTCTGTAGCTGGATTAGTGCCTCGCATCGTGACTGGGCCTTCTGTGCACCGAAGTCGATTTGCACAAGGGAGGTCCCACCTCCGGATCGCCGTGGCGGTGGGGCCATAGCACTGCGGTGTGTGACCGCTGCTCCGTGTCGCATGTGCTCTGGCTCAGTTAGAACAAAGCCCCTCCTGGTAGGTATAACCAAGGTGCTGATCTGAGTACCAGGAGGCACCCACATCAAATGGTACCCCATCCAGAATGTGGGAGTAGGGAAGAAGATGCCATGATTGCGCATTCCTCGGGGTATGGACAGGAACAGGGGCGCATGCTGGTGCGTGAGCTCACAGGAGTCGGCAAAGGTGGTGCCTTCCTCGAACAGGCCTGTGGCCTGTAGAGCTTCCTCCACTTCGCTGAGCACTGGGCAAATGCGGCCCGGAACATAAATCAAGGCCGGTGCATGCGCTGCGCCTTGCACGACAACAGCCTGCGTGTCTGCGGCTGGTTGTCCCATGGTGACCCGTCGATCTGCAATTCGCTGCCTAAGGTATCGCAGGAAAGCATCTCTGACCATCAGCTGCACATGATTGTCGAGAGGTTCTGCAGTGGCTCGCTGAAGGCGGGGAATTTCGATAGGGAAAGCAAACAGGCGCAGGTCTGGGAAGAGCTCGTAGAACCACTCCGTCGGTGCGACTCGGTGGTCTCTAGGGCGTTGCACGACCTGTGTGTAGTCGCCGTTGTAGATGATTCTACGGCTGGCTGCTTGCGGGCACCCATTAACCATTGCCACATAGCCCTCGCGCGCCTGAGCTGGCGCCACTAGCTCCTCGGGCCGCGAGTTGGGATCAATTGAGATGGACTGGGCCATCGATCCATCCGCGGAGGGATCCAGCACAATGTGGCGCCTGTTGTCCTCCGGAAACAGGAGGAATAAGATCGCGACATGCCTTCGCGTGAGAGGGTGCGGCTGGGCTGCCGTGATGACTATGCGCGTCCTTGGCTGTAGGGCTCGTTGCCTGGCAAGTGCCATGACAAGGTCAGCAATGGAGTCAGCCACACTGATTTGCGTAACATGTTGCGGGTGGAGTCTAATGGTGACACCCAAGCCTGCCATTATGAACGAAACATGCTCAACAACCGAGTGACCTACCCAGGTTGAGGTGGTGGTGCTGCTGGCCGCCCTGCCAAGGATAGAGAAGCTGGGGGCAAGAAAATCTTGCTCGGTCATGGGGAGGTCCGCCTGGACGTGGCCGGAAATGCCTAGCCACTGCAGCTGCGAAAGATCCGGCGGAAGCTCATGCCAAACCTGTCCCCGTGCATCAAGGAGATGCAGAGTGCCTTCTTCGAGCGCTGGGGGCACAAAGATTGGTCCGACCGGGCACTCATGTATGGCTTGCTGAATGACCTCATGCGCGGTGGCTCCTGCCGTAAGCAAGAGAGTGCAGGGGCGGCCACCGAAGGGCCGCATGTCGATCGGCACACAGAGTTGGTTCGGCCCGGCTGCAGTCGGAGTCAGGACGATCTGAGGGGAGGCGAGCCCCGGCATTGGCAGCTCAAGCACCTGTGCTGCACGGGTGGTCTCAGTGTACGACCTGATTGCTTCAGATACTAGGTCGTTAACGGACCATGCCTGTGATGCCGTGCGGTGAACGTGGTGCCGCTGTCGGTCGAAAACCGAGAAACGCATGAGTTGGCGCTCTTTTCCCGGATCGAGAGCAAAGAGCCCGAGCTGGTCGACGGGGATTTCCGCTATGGGATAGCGTGCCAGATGATCTGGCAAAATCTCGATCCTGCACAGTCCCAGCTTGCTGATGTCTGACGGCCGAGCCGGCCCAATTTTACCAAGTAGGCCCGGCGGCGTGTCTGGGGTGAGCATTGGCTTGCCACCCTTGGTAGCCTGTGCCTCTGACCTTGGACATTGCTGAGCAAGGCTCGACATGGAACCGCCCTTGGACTCAGCGTCATTGAGAGGAGGGGGGAGGGGGATGACCCATGATGCCTGGTGACCTGGCTGCAAAATGCATCGTGCGCCGGCACTCGTGTTGGAGAACTGGCGGCGCCACCGGTTGGCATGCTGATGTATGCCTGGCTCAAAGCATACCTGCAACGCAAGCGGGTGCTTATGTCGGTGGAGACTACTCCGCTGGCGCGGTGGTCCTTGACTAGGACCCTTAGGAGATTGAGGCACACCTGTTGCAGAAAAAAGTGTACAGACATCACCCCATACTGTACAGTCGTCCCGCTCATTGCTATGTACAGTTTGTCCAGTGCAGCGATGCAGGTCCTGGCAACCCCTGCGTGACCCACTTGCTTCGTCAACCGCATCGGCTCCCCTGTGGCCATGGTGGGGGCCGGAAGGCTGGAACGCAAGCGAATCACGGCCGGTGCTGCCAATCCCTGCAGCGCCAGCGCTTTTGCTGTCTTGCGACCAGTTCCACGGATAAAGGGTTTCCGCGTGAACCACGCGGGGGTCTTGGCCTGGCGTGAACTGCACGCCCAGCTCGTCAAAGACCAGTTCAGACTCCAGTTGGAGGGCGAACCAGCCCGCAGCCTGTGGCAAGGCGAAATCCCACTCCTTCGCCACAGAATGTAAAAATGCGACGGCGCGCATTGCGGGGCCGTCTTCTTTCGGCCTCATGTGTACCAAGTGGCTACTCATGAGGCCCCGCCAGGGGGCAGCTCGTTGCCATCTTTCTTCGTCGTAGGCAACTCGCCACCCTCTTTCTTCGCTGCACCATCCGCACCTTTGGCTCGTCGTGGCGTGCGCTCCCTGGCCTGGTCCTTCTGCTGATCCTCGACTGCATTGGCTTTGGCTGCCGCAAGTGCCGCCAGCAAGGTCTGGCTTTGCGTCGAGGCTGCAATGCTGCGCTCCTCCACGCGTTGCGCCTGGAGCTCTGCCTGGCATGATGCTTCTACCTTGGCCTCGGAAGCTTCCATGGCATCGTCCTCGGCGTCGGAGATGGTCTCGATCTGGTCCGCTTCCGTTGCTAGGCGAGCCAGGGCCGTCGCAGATTCCTGCAGCGACTGTTCCCACTGGCCTTCCTTCAGTGTGAAGTCGGCCATGGTGGCGTCGTGTTCCTCGAGCTGCTGCTGAATGGTGACGATCACCTTGTCCAGATAGCCCGTCCAAGCTTGCAAATAGCTCGCTCTGGCTGCCCGCAAGCGGGTAAGCTCCTTCTTGGCCGAGGCCTTCGAGGTCACAACTCTGTGTAGGCTTCTCGCCTCGGCCTTGGCGTCCTCGTGCTTGTGCTGCTCCAGGAGCTCCCGAAGTTGTGGCGTGAGGTCCTGCTCGTTGGCCCTCATCGTCTGTAGCAGCTTGTCCAGTGCCTGGCGATCTCCTGAGGCTGCTGGCAGTGCTTCGGCGTCCTTCGGTGCTCCGGCTGGAGCCGGCAATCTTTGCCTCGCAGGAGGTTCTGGTAGTCGGAAAGCATGGGCGGCTGGAGTAGTTGTAGTGTCCGCGCTGCTTCCAGCCTTGCTCCCAGCTCCCTTGCCCTTGGTTTGCTCCTGGCCGCGACCCCGTCCAGTGCTCTTGGGCCCATTCCTGCGCCTGGGGGACTTCGTCCTCCATGACTGTGTAGTCCAGCGACGTGGTGATGCTGCTCCATCTTGCCACCCCTGGTCCTTTTGCCATCCATTGCCCTTGCCTTTGTTCTGGCGAGGGCCACTGTATGTCATCTCGTCCCACCTGCTGCCACAAGAGGCACAGTAGAATGCCGATGCCTTGTTGGTGTTGCCGCAACCACAGCCCCACGGAGCCATCTCTTCGGATGGCCTGGCCCGTAGGTAAGTGTTCTCGGCCGCGGCCTCGCGTAGCCTTTTTTCTCTCGCCTGCCTTGGTAGTACAGAGGCGGAATGATGCAGCTCCAGCGTTCTCGCCGCTCTGGCCGTTGCACCACTCCAATCCACTAAGTCCGCCAAGTAGTTGCGAAGCAGCGTACGGGCCTTCGTCCTCGCCCTTCTCAGCTGCCTGTGCCACGCCGCTTCTCGCGGCAACCTGACTCTCGTAATCCTCACCAACCAGAAAGAAAATCAGAAAAAGGAGGCTTCGGCGACCCATGCACGAAGCTCCGAGGTATGTATGCCAGCCACCCGAGGGTGGGGCTGAGCTCGAGGACCTCGCGGGGCGTACAGTCCAGGAGCTGGCGTCGTGGGTACCCTCAGGTCCACACTAGGGTTCCAGCAAGCAGCGTGTACGGTGGACTCCGGGGAGAAACTACACCTAACACAACTGCAAGCCAAACGCCTCGGGTTTAGGGTTTAGGGTTTAGGGTGACCCTTTGGCCTTGCTACGGCCCTTAAGGGTACATATAGGGTATATAGTAGGTGAACAAGGATCACAGGGTTAAGGGCCCATACTAGGGGCGCATGGTCCCAACCTGGGTTCTTGTTAAGGAATTTGAAATAGGGGCCTTAATAATCAATTAGAAAAGGGTTTTGGGTCCCATTATACTACAACTATAATAAGGAACCCCCAAGATATTGCAGGTAATTATTGAGGCCCCTAAATTAGTCTTAACTATCATAACCTCAACTTGGAAACCCTGTTTTTCACGATGGATTCCTTAATATCGTAACTGTAGATGTAGATAAGTTCCTTGACAAGAGCCCAGGCTTGCAACTTCGGGTTATCAGTAGATCATGGTCGCCTCACATCCCCCCTGCCAACAAACTCGGGGGCAGCGGAACAAATCAAGACCCGCCCCGACCATCTCAGAAGAAGCTGGCAACTCAGATGTACAATGCACCTGTGCTTCCTAGATTGTATGTCGCATGCAAACCTGACCATCATCAAGTTCGTAAGCTGCTACTAGGGTCCCTAAACCCTAAACCCTAAACCCTAAACCCTAAACCGTAGTTACTATGAACAGGCTCATCCTGAAAGCCTTGTTTTGGCAAGCCGGCCTTACCCTCGCGGGTGATGTCACCGGTGCTCCGGGACCAGGCGTAGGTAGCATCGCCGCCGTCACGGCACTGTACGTCCAGAATCTGCACAGGAAGCTACAACTTTTCAAGTTGTGTCGTACTTGCGAACTCAGCTAGGATCTTGTTTATCCCTGCCTGTCTTCCCCCCCATCGAATTACGCACGCACCACTTCGCAGTCTAAGAGCAGGGACGCACGTAAAGCGAAAAAGGCTGAAAAAAGGCCTCCGGGGCTACGGCCGGCGTGACGGCGAACCGAGCACCCGAGGAGATGTTCTCCAGGATGGGGTACTCCAGGGACAGATCCTCGGGAGCCTTGGGGTAGAGTGGACCTACGGCTTTCTGTGCCCTCAAAGCCCTCAAACCCCTAAACCCCAAACCCTTAAACTGCCCTAAACCCTAAACCCCAAACCCCTAAACTGCCCTAAACCCTCAACCCCAAACCCCCAAACTGCCCTAAACCCCAAACCCTAAACCCTTAAACCGCCCTAAACCCTCAACCCCAAACCCCTAAACTGCCCAAAACCCCAAACCCTAAACGACGACGCCCGAAGTACACGGAGGGGTTGGGCTCGCAATCCCAAGACCTGCCCTTTACCAAACCAGCTCTCCAGGCTGACCCCAACCGCACACATAGGCTTGGGCTTAGGGGCTTTAGGGGTTTAGGGCTTAAGGATTTAGGAGCTTTAGGGATTTAGGGTTTAAGGGGTTTTAGGGGTTTAGTGGTTTTAGGGTTTAGGGGTTTAGGGGTTTAGGGGTTTAGGGTTTAGGGTTTAGGGTTCAGGGTCTTTCGGGAAGAGCGATACTGACACACACTTGTTCAGCAGGTAGCTGTTAATCCGAGGTGCACATGAACCTCACGAGGCTGCTGCGCGAAATGGGAGCCAGGGTTTAGGGTTTAGGGTGTAAGGTTTAGGGTTTAGGGTTTAGGGCTGAGTTTAGGGTTAATGTCCACTGCAAAATGGCTGTAAGGCTTCTGGTGCACCAGGGCATCAACTCTTCTCATTACCCGAGCTTATCTCAATTTTGGGGGGTGTAGTGCTGTAACACTGACCCCAAACCCAAAACTCCCAACCCTAAAACCTAAACCCTAAACCCTAAATCTCAAACCCGAAAACCCAAACCCTAAACCCTAAACCCCAAACCTAAACCCTCAACCCTAAACCCTAAACCCTGAACCCCAAACCCTACAACCCTAAACCCCAAACCCTATAACCTAAACCCTAAACC